TGGTGGTGATGATGGTGGTGATGATGGTGGTGATGGTGGTGGTGATGGTGATGGTGGTGGTGATGGTGATGGTGGTGGTGATGGTGATGGTGGTGGTGATGATGGTGGTGATAATGGTGGTGATGATGGTGGTGGTGGTGATGATGATGGTGATGATGGTGATGGTGGCGGTGATGATGGTGATGACGATGGTGGTGGTGATGATGGTAGTGGTCATAATAATGGTGGCGATGATGAAAGGGTATTAGTAAATCCTTTATTTTTTCTCATTTAACCATCACAATAATCTAATGAGACATTCTTATCGTCACTTTACAAATGGAGGAAACTGAGGCTTCATAGATTAAATAGGCACTAGAGTGGGATCTGTCAAAGATCTTTGAAAGCTTGTGTGAGTGAGTGATAAAGTTGCCCATAGTTAAGACCTATCATATGGGGCTAAATTGTTAGATTTGGGAATTGAAGGGTAAGTAGAATTCATGATCTTGCTACTTCTTGCTTTATGGTTACAGTTTATTCTTTAGTTAGACACATACCGCATTTTTTTAGCAATGCTGTCCCATGCCTAGGACAAAATGTAAACCTCGATGTTGACCAGCAGCCACAGTCGATACTGGTTCTAGCACGGACATCTCTGCTTTGGTTCTTCCTGCCTACTGCTTGGAATTTTAATATATGTACTCATCTTAACTAGGCTGCCTTTGAACTTCCAATCTCTTTTTTTTCCCCTTATTTTTTGTTTGTTTTGTATTATTTAAAACAGTAACGGGCATGTTTGCTAAACCAGCCACAATCTTCCCTTTGGCCTCAGCCACATCTAGTTTCCAGCGAGGCTGGGACCCGGGAAAGGGCGAGCCTGCTTTTCATGCCTCTAGCAGGATCCTTGATCCAGGGTGCCCTCTTCCAACAGAGCACATTTCCCTGTGGGCCTCCAGCCCTTCTAGCGCCTTCCCTATGGGCCGAGTGTGTGAGCCAAGGCAGTAAAGGAGAAAGCCAAGGAGAAAGCCACTGGCCAGTCTTGTTGACCTTGCAGGGCGTGAATCACAGTGCATTTCTCTTGGACCTGCTATGGTTTTGGATTTCTGCTTTGAAAGTGTATTCTGGGGAGAAAGGAGGTGAAAGGCAGGCCTTGTTTTTTTTCCCTCAAATAAACTTCTATTTCCAGAAATCCAAAGCTTCCTGCAGGTTCTGAGGAGAGAGCAGGAAGAGCTATACTTCCAAAGGTACCAACTAAGAGATAAGCCATTGACTTATTGCCATAGTCGATTCTGACTCATAGGGACCCTATAGGACAGAGTAGAACCGCTCCATAGAGTTTCCAAGGCTGTAATCTTTATGGGGCAGAATGCCACATCTTTCTCCCATGGAGCAACTGGTGGGTTCAAACCACCGAACTTCCAGTTAATAGATGAGCACTTAACCACTGTACCACCAGGGCTCCTTAACCAAGAGATAGAAAGTAATAATTTATTGAGCACCTACTCAACATGGCGGGCCCGGCCTGACTAGACCTTTGCATACATGACATCTAGTATGCAGTTCTAGTCACCATAGCCCTGGTGGGCTAGTAAAACTCCATATTCCAGGTCCTGAAATAGGGGCTCAGAGAGAGTATATGAAGGACAGATAAGGGATTGACCCCAGTTATTTCTGGATCCAACAATCAGCTCCTTAAGAAGGGATTAATTCTCTTTGTGCATGTCAGCCACAGAAGGCCAAGCCATACGCCTACTGAATGAATACAGCGACCCTTACACTCGTGTATATTTATCAGCTGCCTCACGTTATGATGTTCCTTATTCAATACGGCCTTCACAGCAATACTTCAGTTGAGTGGCATGTTAGCTTCCTGTGGCTGCAATAACAAATAACCACAACCTGGGTGGCTTAAAACAACAGAAATCTGTCATAGCTCCAGAGGCTAGAAGTTTGAAATCAAGGTGTCATCAGGGCCATGCTCTCTGAAGGCTTTGGAGGAGGATCCTTCCTTGCTTCTACTGGCTTCTGGTGGTTACTGACAATGCCTAGTTTTGTGTGACTTATAGATACAGCACTGCGTGGGTCTTCACATGGCCCTCTTCTTGTGTGTCTCTGTGTTCCCTTCCTATAAGGGCACTAGTCATTGGATTAGGGCTTTGCCCTACTCCGGTATGACTTCACATTCATTTAAGTAATTACAACTGCAAAGACCCTATTTCCAAATAAGGTCACACACTGAGGTTCCAGCTGGACATGAATTTTGGGGTCACACTATTCATCCCAGTACAGGTGGGGGAGACTATTCTGTCCCCATTCCACTTTATTGGCCACCTGTTATGTGCAAGGGTGTTTTAAGTCTTGGAGAAGGTCCTGAAGAATGGACGGTGCTTTACCAGTGCCTTGCTGGCTGGGAGCTAACGAGCTTCTCCAGGGAAGAGGGAGACAACTCACAGTTCTGCCACGAACTTGCTGTGTGTCCTTAATTTCCTCACCTGTGACACACACGGGTTGGCCAGCTGACCGCAAATGTCCTCCCCACACCAGTGGTCGCTGACAGTATGGGGTAGTGGCACAAATGGAAGTGCTAATGGAGGAATCAGTATTAATATCCCTAGTGTACAGACGGAGAAAGTGGGGCTCAGAAAGGGACACTTCCAAAGTCATGCAGCTACTGTCAATCCTTGTTACTTGCGGACTCCACATTTTCAAATTCAGTGACTTGCTAAATTTATCTGTAACCCCTAAATCAATACTCAGGGCACTTTCATGGACACTTGTGGACATGCACAGAGGGGCAAAAAATGGGAGTTGCCCAACACACACGTTCCCAGTTGAGGTTGAACAGGCGCTGTCTGCCATCTTGTTTCAGCTCTCAGACTGTAAACAAGTGTCCTTGCCACGTTCTATCCGTGCCCGTTTTTTGCCTTTTTTCTGCCTTTTGTTGATTTCACTATTTCGAATGGCCCCCAGTTGTAGTGCTGAAGTACTGTCTAGTGTTCCTAAGCACGAGAAGGCCGTGATGTGCTTTACAGAGAGAATATGCGTGTTAGATAAACTTCACTCAGGCATAAGTTATAGTGCTGTTGGCTGTGAGTTCAGTGTTAACGAATCAACAAGATGTATATTAAACAAGGTGTCTCTAAACAAAAACGCACAGAAGATTATGTATTGATCGGTTGGTGACAGTGTTGTGACCAGAGGCTCGCAGGAACCTAACCCTGTATTTCCTCTAGAACAGTAGTTCCGTATTTGCTAATTCAGTGTTTGCAGTGACTTTATAGAACATGTTGTTGTTAGTTGCTGTGAAGTCTATTCTGACTCAAGGCAACCCCATGTGTACAGAGTAGAACTGCTCCATAGGGTTTTCAAGGCTGCGACCTTTCAGAAGTAGATCGTCAAGTGCTGTGAATGGTGAGAATTGACTGTATTAAAGTAAGTCGTGGAACTAAGGTTCAAACCTAGATCTGGATTAAAGTCACTTACTGTGTGATTGATTATAAGTTCATTACCCTGTCTGAGCCTCACCTTCCACCTCTGTGAACAAATGCAGGGATGACAGGGAGCCCAGTGGCTCATTACCATGGGTTTGGACCAGAACACAGAGCATGCTTGGTGACCAAGGTCTGGCACAGAGCGGGCATCATGGGTCACCATGTGCATGTGATCCAGCCCCTCTGGAGCATGGTTCCTGTCTCCCACCCCCTAACCAGCTGTCTCTGTCTCCCCAGTGCCCTCTGCCAGCATGACCCGCCTGATGCGGTCCCGCACGGCCTCAGGTTCCAGCGTCACCTCCCTGGAGGGTGCCCGCAGCCGCTCCCACACTAGCGAAGGTGCCCGCAGCCGCTCTCACACCAGTGAGGGTGCTCGTCTCGACGTCATTCCCAGCTCCAGCACCACTGGGGACAGTACCGGGCCCAAGTCCATGGAGGTGTCCTGCTAGGCAGCCTTGCGGCCTCCGTCCCTGGACTTGGATCTGTAGCAGCCCCCTCCCTTCCAGCCCTTTCCCTCCCCCTGCCTGCCATGCCGCACATAACTTGACATTAATCCAAAGCTTATTTTCCAAGAGTGAGCTCTGGTGATGACAATGTTAGATGGGTTTGGGGTGAGTCTCTCTGACCTGGGCGGGGGCAGGGGTGGACCAAAGACAAAAAAGCATCTCAGAGGTTCTGTTTTTATTAACCAGTGGCCTGCTGGCCACTGTACTACCCTCCCTCAGAGACACCAAACTGCCAAAAACAAGAAACGCAGCCGTAAACACTTCATAAACCCAAGCCTAGGGTGCCTGGAGTACCCTGCTGCGAACAGGCACTTTGTCAGAAGGCCAGCCCACCCCCTTCCTCTTTTCTCTCCAACTGAAAAAAAAAAAACTGACCCCGTTTCTGGAAACAAAACCCTTTCGGATTTGGAAAGGGGGACAGCAGTGAATTGTGGGTGGCGCTTTTAACTAGGCAAAACAGGAAGGGGAAAAAAAAAATTTCTGTCGGGGCTACAGATTGTTTGGAAAAAAACCTCTGAAGTGAACGTCAAGTGTAGATCTTTATTAAGTTGTGCATATGGACACTTTTTAATGCTGAAGCCTTGGAGGCTGTTTTTCTGGCACCTTTCCGATGTGTAACTAAAGTGGACAAGAAAGTCACCTGGCTTGACAAAGGAACAGTCTTGGCAAATAGTGGGTGTCATGATTTTAAGACTTTAGCTCTGCCACCTGCCCCCTCTTCTCCAGCCCCCACCTCTCACCCCAGACTCACGTGTGAGTGATTATTTTCGTGCGTGAGGAAGATCCTGTAGACTTGTAGATGCATTCTCTGCAGTAGAGAAAACATTCCTATCAGCTGTACCGGCTGTGATGGTTTTAAATGCCGGGAAAAGGGGGATAGTATATTGGGGTGGGGGGCAGTGTTTTGGGTTACTAGATGTAAGGGTTCCGTTTGGTTGTGATGCAGTTGGTGAAGTTGTAATTTCAGTGGCTCCAACCCTGGTTCCCGGGAATCTCGTATAATCGAGTCCGGTCCAGCTTCCAAGCTGTGATAGCTGGAGTATAACCTGGACTTGAGGGCAATCTGTTCAAACCTGGTAACCTTGCTCTGTCTTCTGATAGACCTGTTTGCTCTGGAGAGGGGTGGAGGTTTGTGTGGGGAGTGGTGGCTGAGAAGATATAGAATATATGCTCCATGGGGCTTTCCTTCCCTCTCCTCTGCCTCCCCCCTCCCCTGCCCAGCTAACCTCCTTTCGCTGAATGGGCGGCCCTACTGACTGAGCTGGGGGTCGGCGTCGCTGTCAAGTTCCCGTACTACTGCCTTTTGATTTTGATTCCGGCTAACCTTGGATTTACTTAGGGGAAGTTTGATCAGAGTGCGTTGAAGGTTGTGACTCAGCCACTGGGGCCTGGTGACTTCGGGACCCTTGAGTTGGCAGAAGGAAGTAATCAAGCCTTCTAGGTAGCTTGAGAGGCAATGACTTAGTTTACCTGCCGCCACCACCTTGGAGGCTTCCTCTGACCTTGTGCAGAAAGGTTGGGACAAAGGCGAGAGTGGCTGAATCGAGACAGGAAGCTATCGTGTACAAGACTTTTCAGAGGAGTTTCTTAATGAGATATTTGTATTTATTTCCAGACCAATAAATTTGTAACTTTGCAGTGGCCTGTGTCTTTTTCTCTCCGAGGGATGGTGCGTGAGACATCGAGGTACAGGGACAGGTCTTTCAGTGAGGGGGGATTGCCAGTCCTTGATACCTGGGGTCCCTGCCACGCATCCCCACCACTTGGAATCCTTCATCCAAGAGCGCAGCTGCTCAACAGAAATATAATGCGAGCCGCGTATGTTACTTTAAATCTTCTAGTCCACAAAAACCAGTCGTCCTCAAGTTGACTGTGACTCATGGCAATCCTGCACGTGTCAGAGTAGAACTGCGCTCCATAAGGTTTTCAATGGCTGATTTTTCGGAAGTAGATCATCAGGCCTTTCTTCCAAAGTGCCTCTGGGAGGACTTGAGCCCCCAACCTCTCAGCTTCTGAGCTTGTTAAAAAAAATAACAACAAACCCTTATTGCTGTTGTTGTGTGCAGTCGAGTTGATGACAACTCCTAGAGACCCCACGTGACAGAGGAGAACTGCCCCGCAAGCTTCCAAGGCTGTCATCTTTCCAGGAGCAGATTGTCAGGTCTTTTTTCTCTGGGAGCTGCTGGTCGATTTGAACCGCTGACCTTTCTGTTAGCAGCTAAGCGCTTAACCATTGCACCACCAGGGCTCCTCATAGTATAATTACCAAAAGGTTAAAATTGTGACATAGGAAGTGTGTTTCTTTGTTCAGGAGTTAAATAGGCCTAGAGGCTAGTCTCGTCATAATGGTTATTTCACAGGGGTGATGCGCATACATGGTCTCTTGAGACACTCGCCACAGTTTTGATGACAGACAAAGGTCTGTGGTTTCAGCTGGTGATTTTACTGGGGTTTGTTGCCTACCTTTAGCTAGAAGGAAATGCTAAATTTCAGCTAGAGGTCAGTAAAAACAGAGATGTGTTTTCCCCATTCAAGTTCACGACCCCTGAATTCTATCCATGGATCCCCTGGGGGTCTATGTGCCCTGGGTTAAGAAACCTTGCCTTAGAGGCTGAGGGGAGGAGTATGTTTACTCAATAAACATAAGAAGTGCCTTCTCTGTGTCTGATAAGATGCGTGGTGGAGGAGCTAGCCAGCAATCACCAGAGCAGTGGGCGTGTACATCAGTTTAAGGGAGTAAGGACAGTCGCGGAGACCCTCTGGGCCTGCCTCCCCCAAGCTCAGGCTTCGCCCAGGGAGTGAACCGTTAAAGGTGTTCCCTGTGCCCCGGCTTCTCTTTAGAGACCATATGTTGACAGTCTGTTTTGCCAGCTGGGGATCTATTTATGTTCTCATAGCTGCTTGTTTTGGTTTTCATCCCCTGACCCTTGCATGTCAGCAGCAGCTGGAGGCCACGTCTGCACTCAGATCAGCCAGGTGCAGAATCTGTAGGGATGGACAAGGCCTCCACCTGCCCCTCCTTAGGCACCAGCTCAATCCTACAATTGTTGGATAGGTCCCCAGACATAGCCAAAATCCATCTGATTACCTATTTGTCTTGGGGCTCCTTAGGCTGAATGGGCATCCCTCAAATGTGTCCCATGTAGAACCCAAGGGCAGAAAGTGAGACCTAGCCTTTTGTGGTTGGAGATGGGATCGGGGAAGGGGCATAGGGAGTAGGTCAGCTACCTTACTAACATGAGATTTCTCTGTTTCCCTGAAGCATAAAATGGCGGCCCTAATCCATGATTTTCTGGTTCTTGGGCCTGAAACCACTCAGGTCTTTTGTCTCTTAAAGGGGAAAATCTAATTGGCCCAGCTTGCTCAAGTGTCTACTCCCTGTCCAGTCAGCAATGACTGGGCTCATGCTATCCTTCCCCCCAGTACACAGCAGGGGCTCTGAGGAATTACCAGGCTTCATTGGGTGAATTGGCGTGTCCCTTATACAAGTAAATCTATCTATAGCCAAATTCCCTGCTGCAGAACATGCCCTTCCTCATCTCTGTTCTGGGAAGCCTTTCTGAATGTCCCGCCCTCCCCAGGAAGCACCTGCCACATGACATAGGCCCCCCGTGGAGATGGCCTCAGTAGTATTTGGGCATTTATAATGCATGTCAGCTGACACGCCCCCCCACCCCCCAACTAGACCATGAGGGGTTTCTTACTCTTGTGTTGCCAGGGCCAGCACAGTGCCCAGCACATGATAGGAGGTTTTTGTTAAACAGGAATGCTTCTTCTAAGAGTAGTGGTATTGGCGTATATTATAGTTTCTTTCCTTTTTTTTTCATTCCTTATCTGTAAGCAGAAGTTAGTCTTGCTTCACAGATAAGAAAACCAAGGCTCAGATTAAAGGGCTTGTTCAGCCATTTCTAAAGTGGTTTGTGTCCTTTCACAGTACCCTGAGCCCACCATGAATGCAACCAAGTATTGATGTCTTGGGATAACAGAGCATCAGTTAGTTCCCCGGACTAACACTGTGGATACCCATAAGGCTTTTGTTGCCTGTGGGAGTGTTTATCCCTCCATTAAATGGTCCCACTGGACTCGGGTGACCTGCTTTTATGATGTCTTGTGTCTGGCTTTTAATTCGTTTACCTTCTTCTTAGCTAGCAGGCTGACATTTTGTCGTTGCTACCAGTAAGTTTGCTTCTAGAAACTTCTCCTCTGTTTTTATTTGTCATGGACTAAGAAACTCACATTGTTAGCACTGTGTGAAAAACAAGAGCCATGAGGTTCACGGCGGAGGTCTGGAGGCATTCTTTACAGAGTAACGTATAAAGCAGTCCATGGACTGCACGGCAGCTCTCTCCTCTCCTTAGAAGATATTCTTTGCTTGGGTCTACATTTAGAAAGAGCCCAGACACAGCTAGCACTCGGAATTCTGAATACGTGAAATGCTTTTGTATTTTCATTTTGTCAGTAGGCGCTATAGGAAACACTGGCATTTCGCTATGTGCTCTTTTACCATCGTAACTTTTTCTGGCCATTTTCTCTGAATCTCATTTTTCCCTAAACTTCAGTCATCTGATATCATCAAAAATATCCCCCAAAAGACTACACAGTCATCTTAATCTGAGGCACTCACAGGACTCCACAATCTAACTTCCAGTTAAGAATAAGAATATGCTTCAGAATAGAGGTGTTCTTGGAAACCATGCCTGTGACAATCATTTGTCTATTGGCATTGCTTCTCCCCTTGACTTTCATTATAATATCATAATGTGTTTTGGGGTGGGGGTAGGGTAGCAGGTGGGAGGGTTTTGGCCAGAAGGTATTACAAGAGTCCTTCACTTCGTTTACCCCAGCCATCTACACACGTGTTCATATAAATGAGCATATACTATGTACTGAGCTGGGTTTCGGGGAGAGAAAAGAATAAAACACTGTTCCTGCTTTAAAGAAGCTAGTTTTTAATCAAAGTAAAGCATAAATTAAAAACAAAAATCAAATAGTTAAGGGAACAAGTGGTCTATGATTAAAGTCAAAGAGCATTTCACCGAATACTGGTGACACTTTTTCTTCACATTTGCCATTTTGAAATGGGGCTGCATCAGTAAAACATGCACACACACGCGCACACACAGTGACTTAAATTCTTACTGTAACCTTGATGGTTATTCCCAGTTTATGAGGAAACTGAGATTCCGCTAATAATAGATCTGCTTATTAAGGGCTTATGATGTGCCAGGTACTCTTCTGAACTTTTTACACGCAATGCCTTTTAATCGTCACATCAACAGCACCAGGAGGTAGGTACAATAATACCCACACTTCACAGTGGAGGAAGCTGAGGCTCAGATGGATTAAGTGACTTGTTCAGTAAGGCATGAAGAAAACCAAGGTCCATTTGACTGCCAAAGTCAGGACTGTTTCTATTGTGTCTTGCAGCCTCTCTTCCACTTCACTTCCTGTGTTTCCTAAGGCAGCTGTCTGTAGATACTCCATCTATCCCTCCATCCAACCATCCATCCATTCATCCATCCAACTATCTATCCATCCATCCAACCAACCAACAACTGCTCAGCCAGCCCTACCATGTGCTAGGCACTGCAAATGCAGTGATAGCCCCTGACCTCAGGATACCCACAGTCTAGTTGGGAATACAGAAAGGCACGGAATAAATAAGGGCTTTGAACCGGTTTGTTCTGACTCAAACCCCACTGAGAATTTGCATTTCCACCCCCAGATATACTGAATCAGAATCTACATCTTTTAACAAGATCTCCAGGTGATTCTTATGTATAATACATTTTGAGAACCACTGCTCCACTAGTAGTTCTCAGAATTGGTCCCTAACCAGCAAGCAGCATTAACATCGCCTGGGAACTTATTAGAAACACAGAATCTCAGTGGGGGTTCAAACCGGAATGTACTGGTTCGTAGCCCTGAAATAAATGAGTGGGTGAATGAATGAATGTTAAAAATTCCATTTTATATTTATATGAGGTGTCTTCTAGACTGGACACATTGACAGCCCTGGTCTTTGAATCCCAGATCCCATATTTCTAAGCACAACTCCGAATGACTTAGCTAATTTGATTTTCATGTATAAAATATCTGGGACCTAGTTTCCACCACCTGCTTAATGCTCCATCATCACCTCATAACAAATGGATCTACAAGAAAACCCACCCAATACAGTAAATCACTGTGCTGATGATTTATTGCTTTAACGAGAAAAGCTATAAACAGAGAATTTGAGCAATGAAAACCCTTCACATTGTACAAACATGTTCCATGCAACACAAGTCATGAGAAATAAGAGGAATGTTGTAAAACGTAGTAGATTGCTCAAGTGCTTAATTTTCCCCTATTGGGAAATTACAAGACATTTCTTTGTATATATATTTTTGAAAAAGTCACTTAGAAAAATGGCAGTAAGGATATTTAAATATTAAATCACAGCTTGAAGACAGATATATACATACACATATACACACACATATATGTGCAGAGAGACACAGTCAACCATTATGATATTCATGACTCCCAGCTATGAAGGGTCATTGAAGTTCCTTCTCATCAAGATAGGTCTTTTAGACCAGACTTGGTGGTTTGAGACTGGAGGGACCCCGGAAGACGTGGTCCCTGGACTGTCAGCCCAGAACTGAAACCATTCCCGAGGCCAACTCTTCAGACAAAGATTAGACTGGACTATTGGACATAAAATGATACTTGTGAAGAGTGTGCTTCTTAGCTCAAGTCGATACATGAGTCTAAATGGGCAGCTTCTGTCTGGAGGCGAGATGAGAAGGCAGAGAGGGTCAGCGCTGGTTGAATGGACATGGGAAATCCGGGGTGGAAAGGAGGAGTGTGCTGTCACAGTACTGGGAGAGCAACTAGGGTCACAAAACAATGTATGTATAAATTTTTGTATGAGAGACTAACTTAAATTGTAAACTTTCACTTAAAGCACAACAATTTTAAAAAATGCTCAAGGCAGATTTTTTACTAGTTAAGCTAAACTATTTTTTGGTTTTAAGAAGGAAAAAAAAAAGAGTCTTTTACAAAAAAGCAGTGACATAATTCAACATAATAGTCATGGACTACTTTGCTTCCCCATAATCCACATGTATACAGAGTACAATATTAATGAGATTACAGTTATATCATTTGAACCTACTTTCTTTGATCACTCTCAGAATCCCTTCACGTAAAAATGGTAGCTTTAAATTTGTAAAGATTGTTCCTTTGACTTTGGAGGCAGGATAACTAGGCTTAGTGTCAGGAGAGATGACTCAAGGATTAGCCCAACCTGTGTTCATGACCTTGGTCTTCCATTCACTAGCTGATAAGACCTTGGGCAAATTACTTAACTCTTGAGCCTTACTTATTCTATAAGCCTCAGTCGTTTTCTCTCTAAAATGGGGGTGATGATAATAATGTCAAACCTCATAAATTTGCTATGAGGATTAAGTAAGATATGGCAGTAAAGCACTTAGCACAAGGCCTGACAGGCAAGAAGTACTCACTAAGTGCTTATAATAAGGTTTAGCAAGAACCAGTGGTTTGGTGAATTCAGGTCTCCTTCCATCCCCAACATTAAGCAAAGCAATTTACTCTAAGAAGTACTAAGGTGAATTTCTTCACCAACTGTCCACTCACCTATGTCCCTTTCTGTCATCTCCGAGCATGGAGCTAGGAGGAGCTGCAAAGGTGATTTATTTGCACATCTGCTGAGGTAGGATGGACCCCATGACACTCCAGTGAGTCCTAAGGCTCCGCCTAGAAGCCTCCCCTCCTCTCCGGGCTGACTGTGGACAGCAGGAAGAGCTGGGGTTTGGGCTCCAACCTTTTTTGGCTGATTTTTCAGCCTCTCTGAGTCTCAGATATTCCATTTATAGAAAGATGCTTATTCAAAACTGCTGTGAGAATCAATACTGTAATGAAGAACCTAGCATAATGCTTGGCACCAAGTAAGAACTCCATAAATGGAGTTTTGGTTTTTTTTTTTAATTTCGGTTATTATTATTAATTTTCACTGAGGCAGACCACACCATTGCAAGATATTTCTAACTGCTAGAAAGAGCTTCATTACATTGGGCCAAAATCTCCTTCCTCTTGACTTCAGTGCACTGACCTGAGACTTCCCCTCTGGTTCTGCACAGAACAGACTCATTTCTCAAAATCAACCATGACTGGATCATTCTGGCCACCACATTCCACCTATCCCCAGGATAAACCCCAACTCCTCTAACCAAGCTCCTATGATCCTGGAAGCTATGCTCAGTTTCCCAAATGGGGATGCAAATTCAGTACGGACCTAGCTCTTGGATTTCTACTGAATTTCAACTGGGCTAGCTATTATCTAGTCTTTTTAATTTGTAGACGGCAGGTGGTTTCACTCTAAGGAAATCCAACAAGACTCACACAGACTTACAGAAGGGATTATTTATGAGTTAAATCCTCTCTACACAAGACTCCTTTTTTTTTTTTTTAAATAAATAAACATCTCTTTAAATATTAAGTGTCTTTTTCTATGGCACTTGAAATGAGATCTGGATGATAAAAATTAGATTTTCACACAGTGTGGGAGGAAGAGAGCTTCTGAATAAAGCTAGGAACACCTGCTCAATTTCATTTATTCATCAAATACATACTGAGCATCACAGTATGCTTTGCACTGGGCTAAGCTTTCAGGAGGCCCCAGGAGAGGGGACACGTTTCCAGCTTGTTTTCCTGTTTAGGAATCTCTCTGCTCACTTCAGATAACTCCCTCACGAATAACTGCACACCATTCAATAAGCAGCACTGAAGAAATCATCTAAATGCATGAGGAGATCTGGTTTCCATTGGAAGGAGGGGATGAGCTGTTGGAGATGCATGAATTTCTATCCACCTGATAATTTTTTGGATGTTCAAGCACCTAAATGATCTGAAAGTCAGACACTGTCTTCTCTTGGAAAAGGATCTAGAGAGACAGTATTAAAAGTGAACACCAGAGTGAGAAGTCATGTATTCCAATATGTTCTCCTGCTCTGACATGTTTGGAAGCTCTAAAAGTAGGAAAAAATATGGACTTTGGAGTCAGTTCAACTTGGATTTGCATACTGACTTTCCCACTCGCCAGCTGGGTGACTTCAATCAAGTGTCTTTGCCTCTCTGGGCTTCTGCTTCACATTTGTAAGAACGGAAATAGCCACGGCAAATTCAGAAGGTTGTCGCAAAGGTTCAATGAGCTAGCCGAGGTAAAGCGCTGAGAACAATGTCTGGCACAGAGAATGTGCTTCATAAAAGAACTATCATAGTAAATCTTTATGTTTTATTAATAAAATAAATAATAGCCTCCTTTCCATTTCCTTTTCGCTTCAAACCCTTGTTAAATATATTTCTGGTTTTAAGCAACTGGCAAATCCCTGTCTTCACACCAGGAAACTGGGTTGTTTTGATCATTAGACCCAAAGGCTGTGAAATGGTTTACTGTGGCAGAATGAGACAGGCCTTGGGCCCAGCCATCCTTGTGGTCCTGTAGCCTCCTTCTAGGGGCCACTCGAGGCCATGAGGCATGGACGCACTTCTTGTTTGACCCACCCCTGACCTGGACCTGTCTTGGTCATTTCAGGAGGGTCTGGCCTGGACTTCAGTGGGGTGTCCCAAGTCTCTGTAGGAGAAATGCCCCAGGATACCACCCTCAGGGTGCAGAGAGGCCATCCCAGGGCCTCCAAGGACTCCTGTGAGCCATCCAGCAGAGAGAGGGTCTGGATGCAAGGAAGAGCCTGGCCTATGGATCAATGCCCCATCAGTCAGCAATGGACTCCAGCTAGGGTCAGTGGCTTCTTCTGGAAACTGGCTGAGCTCCCTCTATTCCTGGAGTATTGACTGGGGGCTGTTTCCATGATCAAGAACAGACTTTATCAAATCTTGTTTCTCACTGAGATGAACCCAATCTCTACCCTTCACAGTGCAGGTGTGAAGAGAAACTGAACCTCAGCAATCCCGGAGTTAATGGATACAACTTTCCATTAATAAACAAAACAAAAAACCATTCATCTCTCTTGGCAAATGTTTGGTGGCTTTAGGGTGCATAAATCTTTAGCATCTGAGATACTTTTGGTATGTTACGGTCAGAACAGTCTATTAGGGTATCACTAGGCAGGACCCAAATAGTAGACTATTCCGTTGGCCCAAATCCATCAATCCTTCTGAACAGACCCCAAGAGCCTTGTGGTTTGGCATCTAAAGAGGGAATTCATGATACTGGATGTCTAGCTGGTTCTCTTCCATGGGACTCAGGCAAGATCCAGCAGGACTTCCAGTGTATTAGATGGTGGGTCAGGCTTGGGGCTTGTCCAGAACTGCTAGAGACAGGCATTTTCTTTGGAGTGGACATGGAAGGCTGCCAAGGAGGGACCCAGAATCTGGGCCTGAGGAGCACCATCATGGGCCTTATGGGTGGTCAGAGATGGAAAAGGGGACAGAGGATCAGGATCAGGGTAATTAAAGGTGAGTGGTAAGTGGACAAAGGAAGGCTCAGTTGTGAAAATGTTCTGGCCACAGAGGTCTGGCTGCTTTGCAAGCGCTGGGCCAGGCCCTGAGGCCCTGGTCTTGTGCCTGCCTAATTCGCAATTTCTGAGATGTCAGGGTAGGATTCCAAGTCTGCAAAGATATCATTGGGGTTCCTACAGCTCAGGTTGCAGAAGCAAGCATTGATCCATAGGACCTGGCGGGAGAAGCCAGGCCCATCAGGACACTGGAAGGAGACGTTGATGGTCTTGGACTTGTAGGGGATGCAGCACCTGTTGTCCGTACAGGCCCCACAGTACTTGGGTCGGTATGAGCGTGTGCTGTTGCAGCCCCCGAAGGTGAAGTTCATGGGCATTTCTGGCTGGTACACAGCCAGACACTTCTTCCCTGCCTGCAGGAGAGGAAGGGAGCTTTCAGTTGGGATGTTCAGGGATCCTTATGGTGAGCAACTCCTTCCTCCAAGCCCCCAATTCTTCCCTTGTCATGTGCCATGTGGAAGCACGCCACATGACTTTCAGATTCCCAGCATCTTTAAGTAAGGAAGGACCTTTGTAAATACAGGGAGACCCATCCATAGTACACAGGGGCAAACTGAGGACCACAGAAGGGATTGCTATTGCTTGGGCTGCATCTTACAGCCTGGAACTTCCCTTCTCTTCTGCATCATGCCTTGCCAATCCCCAGTCATTCATCACGGTTTCACCTGATGCTAGCTCCTTCAGCCAACCAGACTCCCCCAGCTAGTCAGTGGCAGAGCCAACATTGGGACTTCATGATCAGGGATCTGCTTTACCTGAGCCTCTTCTTCCTCAGTCTCCTACAGCCTCTCACACACCCTCATCATGGAACTTACTCAATGGGATTGGCCTTGCTTAAAAACAGCTCAATTGTCCACTGGGCTGCGGGCAGTCACTGAGGGTTCCTCAGCATCTTTACAGATGAGCACTTTGGAGGGGCCTGGGCTCTCTCTGTGGTGGCCTTGATACTAATAATATGGCAGCCACAAGAACTTCCACTGGGTGAAGTGCACAATGCGCTACCCCATGACACACATTATTACAAATAACTGTTATCAGGAAGTGGGTTAGATTGTTCCCATTTTACATGGCTCCCACTAGGAAGTTTGGGAGCCAGGACTCAAAGCCAGGCTTGTCTTCTTGTGGCCCCTGCCCTAACCCCACCCTGGGAGGGGACGCACCTTGATGTGCGATCGGATGTCCACCTCACACGGCCGCAGGTTGCAGAGACGGCTCTCCTGCTCAGGCCAGCACTGGGTGTTGGCGTTGGAGATGCGCATGGAGACCCCCAGGCCGCAGCTGGTGGAGCAGGGGCTCCAGGGGCTTGTGTAGGCTATGCAATTCCTGTGCCATGGCTCGACCTCCCCCGTAGCCGCTGCGGATGGGAGCAAATTCCCTGTGAGTCTCCAGCTCCATGAGCCCTGACCCCCACTGTCACCACCTGAAGGGGCAGGGTCCCCAGAGCTCAGAGAGAGCTAGTGTAGCAGTCGGTTCTTCCCCACAGCAGAGCAAGTGACTCCTACCCAGCTTGGGTTCCCAGGGAGAGGCAGACATGTTCTGAACTCCTTACAGTTTCCTGACCAAGCGAGGCAGCATGGAAGAATGGAGGCAAGGTGATCTTTAGTGGTGGGCCTGGGTTCAAATCCTGCCCTACACTCTACAGGCTGTGTGATCTTAGATAACTCCCTCACCCTCTGTTATGGATTGAATTGTGTCCCCCAAAGTATGTGCTGTAAACCCTAACTTCTATACCTGTGGTTATAATCCCATTTGGGAATGGGTTGTCTTTGTTATGTTAATGAGGCAGGATTAGTGTAGGATGTGTCTTGAGTCAATCTCTTTGACGTAGAAAAGAGATTAAACACGAGCTAGCAAGCAGAGATGGGGGAAGAGAGATGTCAGGCCACATGAAGATTGCCTAGGAGCAGAAGCTCAGGAGAGACAAGGACCTTCCTCCAGAGCCAACGGAGAGAAAAGGCCTTCCCCTAGAGCCAGTGCCCTGAATTTGACCTTCTGGTGTCCTAAATTAGTTTAGCGTCCTAAATTGTGAGAAAATAAATTTCTGTTTGTTAAAGCACCCACCCGTGCTATTTCTATTATAGCAGCAGTAGATAATTAAGACACCCTCTCTGAGCCTCAGCCTCCTCAGCAGAACAATAATCCCTGCTTTGTGGGGCTGGTGTGACAACTGACAAGAACACATATGAAGAGTCTAGATATGTACTGAGCATGTATCAGGCATTCTGCTAGGTGCTGGGGTAAGGGGCTAAAAAGCAGTGGCTCGCCCCTGCAGAGATTCAGTTTATTTGGGGAGGCTCAAAGGCAAGTGCCTACCTCCTAGTAGCTAACATATCATCTTGGACTGCTGAGGACATAGTGACTGAGGGGACACACAGGCTTCAGAGCCAGATGCTGGGTTAAAATCTCAGCACGGCCACTAACGAGCTGTGTAACTTTCGACAAGCTAGCACACACACCTCCGTGCCTCAATTTCCCCACGTGCTAATGGGCTTGACAATAGCATCCCTCTCCCAGGGCTGTGAACTGGAGACGCTGGTTCACACAGGTGAACATGCTCAGGCTGTGTCTGGCCCTCAGTAAACCCTCAGTAAAGAGGACCTTTCAGGATGACCTGGCTGGAGGCCAGCTAACCTACCAACTCCTGGAGTGTTCTATGAATGCATGCATCCCCGGCATCAAGGACATGGTGGTGGCCAACAAGTATCTGGAAAATGGAAGTGTAGGTGAGCTAGAGATGGTGGCCAGTGAGAAGCCAGGGACACAGAGGAGAGATACCCAATAAAGGTGGAGCAAGACCACAAAATAAAGACCCAAAGTAGAGGCCAGTCCCACCCAGACACACACACACACACACAAGACACATGCGCACAAACACACATACACACACACAGACACCCCCCAAACACCCACACACACAGTGCATACGCACACCACACACACACACACACACACAATACGCACAATACACCACACACCGCACACATACAGAAGATACACATACACCACACACACCACATACACAAAACACACACACAAGACACATACACACATACACCACCCACACACACGATACAGACACACACACCACACACGCACATCGCATACACGTACAAGACACACACCACACACACGATACACATACACCACACACACACACACACACACACACACACACCTCACACACACACACAGAACTGGAGAGAAAGGAAGTGGTGGAGTGAGAAGGTGGAAGAAAGACAGATGGGCAGGACAGGAAAACTGTGGAGAGGGAGAGGGACAAGGGAGGACAGAAGAGGGGAAGAGGAGAGGGAGAGAGAAAGGGAAGGAGGGAGGGGGAGAAAGGGAGAGGGAGAGAGGGAGGGGGAGAAAGGGAGAGGGAAAGAGGGAGGGAGAGAGGGAGAATGGGCAGGGGCAGACAAATGATAAAACAATCAAGGGTGAGAGGAGGAGCTGGAGAGAGAGAAAAACTAGAGAGAAATCTTCAAGGATCAAAAGGAGAAGTGGGGGCAGCGCTCTGTACCCCACCCCTCCAAGCCAGGAGGTGCAAGGGGAACACTGCTGAACGAATGCATGAATGAATGATCAAGAGAAGGGGAGGTGTGGGGGGCAAAGAGGGAGAGACAGAGAGAGAGAGGAGGGGCACCCAGACAGAGGAGGGGCCGTCCTCCCAGGAGCAGGGGCAGGGCTGAGCCAGCTAAGAAGGGGATTCGGAGCCCTGAGCTAGGGGACGCAGTAGGGAGGCCCGGCCTAGGAGGATAAAGGCCTTGGTTTCTGGGTCACCTGGCTCCACGGAGGCTCCGCATGTGCGGGGTCAGAATGAGGTCACTGGGCCACACACAATGGGCAGGCGGCTGCCCTCCGCCTTGTGTGGCCCTGTTGAGGGGCCTTGGAGGGACACTCCTCTGGCCACCCCCAGACCCTGCTGTCCTGGGCCTGCTGGGGACAGAGCTTTCCCTGCTGCCTCCTCCCACTGACTCAGGACCATTTCTTATGGGGCAAGTCCTTGCTCAGCCCCGCAAGCCCCCTCAGAGAGGCCCTGCTGGGGACCACCACCTTCCCGGCTCAGGCAGACCTCCCAAGGGTGCCAGTCTGGAGAGAAGCCTCTATTATGCGCTGGTCCCTTTACGCCAAATCCAGCTTGTTCTTTCCCTGAACACTTTCTCCCCTGGGCTGCAGCCAAACCTCTTTCTCCTGTGCTTGCGACACCTCCGGGGTGGGTCTGTCTTCCTCCATTCCCTCTGGCTCTCACCTTGAGGGGTAGTGTCTCAGGGTTCCACAGGCCCTCGTCTCTCCTCTCCTTACCCTGCCTGCACAGCGGCTCTCAGCCTGGGCAACTGTGCCCCAGGGAACGTCTGGCCATGTCTGGAGATGATCTGGGTTGTCAAAACCGGGTGTGGGGGTGCTACTGGCATCTAGTAGGTAGAGGCCAGGGATGCTGCTAACCATCCTACAATGCACAGGACAGCCCCCACAACAAAGAATCATCCCGTCTGAAATGTAGATCGTGCTGAGGCTGAGATGCCCTGCTCTACACAGCCTCCCTGAGCAATCTCATGCCCTGCTGATCTAAAAATAAAACTACCCAGTACCCTGGTTAGGCTGTTGGTAGGTGCCATCAAGTCGGTTCTGACTCAGAGCAACCCCATGTACAACAGAATGAAACGCTGCCTGGTCCGGCACCATCCTCATGATCGTTGTTATTTTTGAGCCCATTGTTGCAGCCACTGTGTCAATCCATCTCGTTGAGGGTCTTCCTCTTTTTCGCTGACTCTCTACTTTACCAAGCATAATGTCCTTTTCCAGGGACTTGTCCCTCCTGACAAGTCTGTCTTAGTTCTCTAGTGCTGCTATAACGGAAGTACCACAAGTGGATGGCTTTAACAAACAGAAATTTACCTTCTCACAGTTTAGGTGGCTAGAAGTCCGAATTCAGAGCGCCAGCTCTAGGGCAAGGCTTTCTCTTTCTCTTGGCTCTGGAGGAGGGTCTTTGTCTCTTCAGCTTCTGCTTCCTGGTACCTTAAAGATCTCCACATGCCTTGGCATCCATCTTCCCCTGGGTCTAGGAGGTTCTCAGTGCAGGGACCCCAGGTCCAAAGGATGCACTCCTCTCCTAGCTCCTCTTTCTTGGTGGTAATGAGATCCCTCTCCTCTCTGCTCTTTTCTCTCTCTTTTTATCTTTTGTAAGATAACAGGTGTGACTTAAGCAAGGGCGTGACTTGAGTAAGGCTGTAAGAGTGGTGACTTAAATAAGGTGGTGACACCCCACCCTAATCCCGCCACATAGAAGTTTTAAGATTTGCAACACATAGAATGGATGATAGTTACATCAGATCACAAAATGGAGGACAATCACATCAGTTCACAAAATGGAGGATAATTACATACTACTAAGAATCATGGCCTAGCCGATCTGACATATACTGGGGGTGGGGGGTGGCACAATTCAATCCATGACAATGTCCAAAGTACACAAGATGAAGTCTCACCATCCTCACTTCTAAGGAGCATTCTGGCTGTACCTCTTCCAAGACAGATTTGTTTGTTCTTCTGGCAGTCCATGGTATATTCAATATTATTCGCCAACACCACAATTCAAAGGTATCAATTCTTCTTTGGTCTTCCTTATTCATTATCCAGTTTTCACATGCATATAAGGTGACTGAAAATACTATGCTTTGGTCAGGTTCACCTGAGTCCTCAAAGTGACATCTTTACTTTTTAACACTTTAAGGAGGTCTTTTGCGGCAGATTTGTCTAATGCAATACATCGTTTGGTTTCTTGACTGCTGCTTTCATGGGTATTGACTGTGGACCAGTAAGTACCCTTAGGACTCTAAAACTCTATTGTCATTTCTTCACACCTTCCTGTCTACTGCCTGATAGACTCCTTCTTTCTAGAAATGTCCTCCATGGCATCAGATGATCCTGGTTTTCCTCCTATACCTGACCCTCGTTTTCTAGGTCTCCTCTTCCTCTGCCATCCCAAAACTCTGCCCTCTTTCTCACTCTGCATATGACCCCTAGGTCAGCCCACCCACCCCATCGGCAGCTCCAGGCTGATGGTCTGCAGAGCTCACTTCCTGCCCCATCTCCCTACTCTTGGTGAGCTCACTGACAGGGCACCCTGCCACAAACTCACCAGTCTCAAAGGAAGCAAAGCTCCTTGCCCTAAACGTGCTCCTTCCCTTCTATTCTCCTACCTGACTACAACCCAGGAGCCATCATCTACCCTTCCTCCCCTCCACTCAGAGCATCAAGACCTTCAGTCTTGCCTGTGAAAGACCTCTTGCATCTGTCCCTTCCTCAATCACCATCTCTCCCCTCATTGCCCTAGTTCAGATCCTCATTATTCCTTCTGTCCATCTGACTGTCCATTCATCCATCCATTTATCCATCCATCCATTCATCCATCCAACCTTGATTGGATACCTACCAAGTGTCTGGCACTGGGCTATGCTCCAGGTAAGGAGTGGTGAAACAAACAGGCCTGTCTCTGCCCTCTCTCCCCCAGGGCTTCCTCTTACCTGGCTCACAGCCTCACCTGCCCACCATTCTCCATAGTCTGGGGAAGCCCCAAGCCATCGTGAAGCCTGTACTCAGCCAGACCTCACTTTCCTGCCCTGGCATCTGCTGCTTCTGCCTCCCCAGGGTCCCTCACACCCACCCTCCCTCCACCCCACTCCCTAACCTCTCCAAGTAGACTATAGCAGATAGTGTGGGTAAGCTTTCTTCTTTACAAGGCATGTCCTTATTTTATGCTCAGAGGATCCTATATGTTAACCAGGACAAATGCTATTATTTCCATTTTACAGACGGGAAAATGAGCTCCCAGAGGAGAAGCGACTTTCCCAAGGTCACACAGGTGGTTAGTGGTGGGCTGGGAATGGAACCCGGGGCAGTGTCAACCACAGGCCCTCAGAGCGCCTGGAGGGGCTGAAGCTGGGTTAAACGGCTGCTGGGCAACAGCCCTCAGGGCCCACCCCTGGCCCACGCGGCGCTGCACGCACCCGAGGCGCCCGTGTCACGCGGCGTTGTCTTGCGCGGCTTCCTGGTGTCGTCGTCGCACACCCACTGCTCGCAGCAGCGGCCGGGCCTGCGCACCCACCGGGGACGGCGGCACCAGAGGCGCGGGGGGCGCGCGCGCAGACACAGCGGCGTGCAGCCCAGGTCACCGTCAATACACGTGCAGTTGTACTTGCAGTTGGGTTGGAAGGACTGGCCGTTGCTGTAACGCACGCCGTCCAGGACGCAGCCCACGCCGACCAGCTCTGCAAACACAGGCCATCACAGTCGGGTCAGGCCCAGTGGACGTAGCCCGGGGCCACCCCTGGCAGCATCCTCCCAGCCTCTGGACCCCACCCGAAACCCTCCCCCACCTCTCCCAACATGGCGGGGCCCATCAGGCAAGGGCAAAGGCAGGGAGGCGTGACAGGGCATGGTACTGCCAGGGGTCAAGGGGTTTGGGGGCACTTGAGCATCAGGAGTGTAGGGGTTCCTTATTGCTACGGCTACCACCTACTGATGGAGGCCTGGTGGCGCAGTGGTTAAGTGCTTGGCTGCTAACTGAAAGGTTGGCAGTTGGTACCCAGCAGCCCCTCTGCAGGAGAAAGATGTCGCAGTCTGCTCCAGTAAAGATTACAGCCTTGGAAACCCTACGGGGCAGTTCTACCCTGTCCTATAGAGTCGCTATAAGTTGGAATTGACTGGATGGCGGTTGGTTTAGAGCTTATACTCTAGTGTGGGGTGGGGTGGGGGTGGAGGAGGAAGCTGACAGATGAAAGATAATCAAATAAATCATACAGAATGTTGATAGTGACGAGGGTGACCAGTGTCAGGGAGAAAAGTGAAGCAGGGAGGGGAACTTGGGTGGGGAGACAATTGCAGATTTAAATACGTGGTCAGGGAAGACCTCACTGAGATGACGCTTTAGCAAAGACCAGAAAGGGTGAGGAAGTGAGCCAGGGTGCTGGGGGTGGAACCTTGCAGGCAGATGGAATGGTTCGAGTAAATGCCTCTGTGGGAGCAGGCCTGGGATGGATGAAGGAGGAACAGCCAGAAGGTGGGATGGAATGGAGAGTGGAGGGGAGGGGAAAGGAGATGAGGTCAGAGAGGGCTTCCTTGCAGGCTCAGAAAGATGGACAGCTGATAGAGTCCAGAACCGTGCCCAGCACGCAGCTGCTGCTCAGTAAGTAACTGTTGAATGAGTAATGTGCTTTATGTTTTACAAGAACACAATGCTGCTGCTTGAGAATGGACTGAGCAGAGTCCAGGGCAGCGGCAGGAAGCCACCAGAGGAATCCAGGTGAGAGCTGGTGGTGGCTGGGACCAAGGGAGGACCACAGGAGGGCTCAGCTTCTGGGTATATCTGGGAGGAGGAGCTGCCAGGGCTTCTGATGGATGGGAAGTGCTGATGAGGGAAGGAGAGGAGCCAAGAGCACCCCTGGTTCTTTGACCTGAGACTTGGATGGCGGGAAGTGCTCTGTCCTCCAGGAGGAGCAGGTTTGGGGCAGGCGGCATCAGTAGTTCTTCATTAAACATGGTCTAAGTTTGAGATGTCTGTTTGACATGTGAGTGGCACATAGAGTTGGTTACACAGAACTAGAGTTCTGGGCAGATCTGGGGGATGCTGGGCCAGGCCAGAGCTCCCACCTTGATGTCACGGTCTGTCTGAGTACTGCACCTGGAAATGCAGGCAGAGGGCCCCAGGCAGCAAGAGTGTCCCCTAGAGGAGGGGAGGTTTGGATTCTGTGGTCGGCCCTCAGTTCTATCCTGTCTCCTGCGTTGTCCCCGCAGTGAGGCAGGGAGTAATAATTCAGCTAGTTTGGCTGGTGAATGAGAAAACTGAACTTGATCTCCGTGAGTTTTGCTGTCTGCCAATCAAAGAAAACATCACTCTCTCATGAAGTTGTTGGGAGAAGTCACTGAGGTAACCCATCAGATGGTGCCTGGCACAGGTCAGATGGTCGGTAAGTGTCAGCAATGGAGCTGGGACTCAAACCCAGGGGCTCCCACTCCACAGCCCATTTCCTGCCACTAGACGCCATAAACCCATTGCAGTCAGGTTGATTCCGACACATAGCAACCCCATAAAGGAGGGAGAAAAGGCAAAACAAAACACCGTAAAGTGGGGGAGGTACCGTGTGAGTCGTTCATCTCTGCGTTCTGACTCACCCCCGACTCTGCCCTCTCACTCCAGGAAAGGACGTGTGTGCACGTGTATTCAGGTGTGTGTGTGGGTGTGTGGGGGTGTGTGCACATATGTGTATGTCTTTTGGAGGGCGGAGTGGGCGAATCCCAGGTCCCTGCCCCTGACGTGGGAACTTGGATGAAGAAGTCAGTGCTGGGTGCCTGGGAGTTCCTCCAGCACAGTGGTTCTTAACCCTGGTTGCACAGTGCAACCACCTGGGGAGCCTTTAAAACCCCCGATGCCCACGACATGCCCCAGAATATGGGGTGGACACCCAGGTCCTGGCATTTTTCTTTGTTTGGCGCCCCAGGCGAAGGCAGTGTGCAGCTGAGGTTGAGAACCTCTACGTCTCCTGTCTCCTCGGCGTTTTGGTGGAGAACAGGGTGCGGTGTGAGTGCTGCCGTCTTTGACCGGCTGGCCCGCCAGAGGCTCGACAGAGAGCAGGGGTTCTGTGATGGTGGCAGGATGGTCCCATGTGAGGACTGGGGGGCCCCCTCCTCATTTGCTTTCTTTTCTTTCTCACTAACCGGAGGACCAGCTCTTGGCCAGATCCTTCACCACCTCTATGTAATCTCAGACATGCATGTCGGGGCATGGCCTGGATAGCTTTCTCCTTCTAGAAGCACTTCCAGGGACTCAAACCACCTTGCTCTGCCATCTGGGCCTTCACTCCCCCAACCCACCAAATGAACTGTCAGCCCTATGGGAGTAGGGACGGTGGGTCATGCATTGCTGTAGCTCCATTGTTGTATCCCACTCCCCAGTGTTGATTGTGTGAATGAATCTATGGATAGATGGATGGAT